CTCTTGCTTGATTTTTAAGTGCAGCTAAAGCCGTACTGTTAGTAATCATTTTAATGAGTAACGTGAGTGAGCAGTTAAATCAATGTATCATAGATAAAATCTTAATTAAAATGGTATTTAGTTATGGGAAGTGAGAGTTTCATAATTTATTTTCTATTAAGATGTTGACTGTTTCACTGAAAGCAATTATTTTGTGGGTTTAATCACAATATAAAAGCTTCACTGAAGTTATATTTCTGCATCTTTCTGTTCTCCTGTGGATATCCACTATTACCAAATTTAAAGGACCATTCTAAAAGGCCAGTGCCAAAATGTTTGCAATAATTTTCTTTCTTCTTGAGATATTTTTTACATCTACTGCAACAGTAGGCTACTAGGGTGTTTAAGATAGCTTTCTTTAATTTTATCAGAGTAAACATTCATGTAGGATTAAGCATGATTATGCATATTCAAAACCACTTTTTCTGAACTGCCCTAAGAAGAATGGAACTGTTTTCATTTGGGCTGCAGTTTTTAAATACTGTGCATGTGACTCTGCACTTCTGTTTATGCTTACTCCAATGTAAGCATAACTTTTTGAAGATGTTGCTGCCCGTGGGAGGGGGAATGGAATAGATGACATTTAATGGTCCCTTCCAACCCAAATTGTTCCATTATTCTATAAATCTAGGAGGTGAGGTAAATTGCTTTGTGAATGCACAGTTAAGGTCTACATTTGCAATTTCATCAAAATATTGTTATGTAAATCTACCCTTTCGAAGATGTGACTGCAATGGTCCTTCAGCTCTTGCTGTTCTATATGCTGGTTTTGGTGGAGAACAGAACACTACAATAATTTCTCCTTCCCTCTCCACACACTGGATAACTTTGCTCTCATCAGGATAAGTGCTCCCTACAGAACTATGTGAGAGCCATCAACTTCCCTCAAGCACAGTGAATGAAGACGGACCATCCACTAAGGCCAGGTTTTCAAAGCTCTTATGGACTCAAAATGGTATGCAGGCACACAAATCGTACATCAAGTCTTATATGTCCCTGCCAGGGAAGTAGCTATATTCGAGAGAAATAGATGTAGGATGTCAGCTACGGAAAATTACATACGTGTAGGTATGGGTTCCTCAGTAGTCTTGAACAATTAAATTTTGAAGAATCAAAATGCTCTTTGATACTAAGTGTGAAGGTTAAGTGTGATATTAGCTATTTATGAATTAATGTGGGGATTTTTTCTTTTTCCTTATATTTGGACTTCATCTTTAAGTATGAAAATTTTTTCTCATATCCTTTTAGATGAAGTACAGATTGTAGGTACTTTGAGGTTGAATAGGTCGCTTCCAGACTGGAAGCCAAGAACTTGTGCTAAGTGCCTTTGCTCCTTTTACAATGCCTGAGGGTTAGGTGTCTTTCTATGGAATTCAAAGCAATAATTACACTTTTAAGCAGTCAGGGAACAGGTGAGACACCTTGGCTGTGTTTTAGAGGTTTTTACATCAAATTAATCCTGTTGTCTTGCACTCCCCAAACCTGGAGGTTAGAAAGATTTCTGATGAGCTTGGGCAGAATTTAGGTGCTGAGCTGTTCAAAGTAGTGCTCTTTTGGGTGTTTGTATGGGTGTTGCTCTACAGTTCTAAAGAAATTTAAGTGTATATATGTTTTCTCTAGATCTTCCACTATTAGGTAGCAGCAGAGCTGAAAGTTAAGATGTGATTTTACATTTAAATACTTAAAATCATTACCAAATTCAAACTTTGTATTATTTTTCTTTTTCCATTTCTTAGCATGCCATCGCTTCCCACTTTATAACTGATATTCTACACTGTGATGAATTAATCAATATTCACTACTTTTTTCTATACACTTAACCAAACTGAAATTTTCGTCTGTAAATTTTTCTATTTCTTCTCTTCGAAACCATTACCTCAGTGAGGAATCAGTTAAGAAAGATAAGCTCAAGAGCTGATTCCTAAGAACTCAAGATTCATGTTTTTTTCCATGGAATGTTAATCACTCTGATGGTAGTCTCAAGCAGATTCTGGAAGATGGCATTACTTTCCTATTCACCCCAGAACTATGCAGCTCTTTTAACAAATAACTGATACACTTAAAATGGTTTTGAAAGGCAGTGAATTATGAAGCCCTGTTTTTCTATTCATATACTCATTAAATATGACTGAAGAAGACAGAAGATAGTGGTTTTCCTTAGCAGAATCCAAACTTAGGAATAATAGTGATTTGAATCCTACAGTTTTACTTAACCTTGGTCACTTTGCTGTTTCTGAAGTGATGTCTAGCAGGTTTGAAATGATACTATTGACTCCTTTCTTCACCTATGTTTGTTTGTTTGTTTGTTTATTTGTTTTTTAAGACAGCCTTATTACTCTCGGCAGCAGAAGGTGTTTTTAACTGAGAATTTAAATGCTGTTTTTAGGCTAGCTGTGCCAGTACTGTACTCAGCAAGCAGCTGAGAAATATCAGATATCACCAGGCCCTAATAACTAAGTCACTGTTCTTCATTGTACTACCATATATGAGCATCTCATTCTTCTGGACACCCAGCGAGGTCATTTCCCCAGCTTTTCTTTGATATTCTCTTTCCATTTTGCAGTTTTTATTTCTTGTTTTTTAAAATTTTTCTTAGGAATACAGACAATCTGAGATGACTGAGTTGACTTCCTTCAAGTTTTCTTCCAGTAGGTAAAGGGTTTTTTCTTTTTTTTTTTGTTCGCTGTTTGCTCTTCAAAACTTCTATATCTACTTTCCATCTAGTATTTTACTTACTCAGGGAATAATTTCGTATGATTTTGAAAGGGATGGATTTCTCTTCTTTACATTAAAGTACAAGGAAAATTCAGATTTGGGACTATCTGAAAACAGCTTGTCCTGAAGTCATCCCGAGTCATTTAAGAAATCTCATTGGTGCTGTTTTCATTTTAATTTTATTTTAATAGTATTTTTATATGTCTTAGCATTTTAAACCCAGAAATCAAACGAAAAATTTAATTTTCTCACTATTCATGCTATGTATTATTTTAATTGTAGTCTCCCATCTCTTTCAGTGGTAGCAAGCTGCTGTATCTACCCAGGGGTGATATTAAGTTTTTAAATAGATGCTCCAAACTGCTCACATAGAAAGAAGATGCCTTGGAATCCTGTAAGTACACTTAAACTTCTTATGTCAAATTTTCTCAGTAGTCACTGTAATTGCATAATATCTTTTAGTGACAGGATGAAATTCTATAGACTGGTACAGAGTTTTAATGATTCCATAAACATCAGATGCAAAGACATAAGAAGCACTCATTGCATATTTTGCAAAATGCAGTCAATTTGACAGATCAATCCATAATAAACCTTAGAACCATGGCTACTTTCAGGGCAGAAGGACTTCCCAGAGAGAAAGGGACTTGGGGACAGGCCATGCTTATTGTCTTGCTGAGGGGGACAGTAATCCTGCTCCTTGGAGCTAGTGCCACCAGCTGCAGCAGAGGAGCTGCTTCTGCACTTACTCTGTAATAAATGCATATGCTTTCCTCTGAGCTCATGCCTCTGCCATCATGCTAGGATGCTGCCTGCTGTGTTAATCCACCAGTAAAGAGACCTCAGGTCATACAATAATATGTGTCTTTACCGTCTGCCAGTACCCACAGGACTGGCTATTAATTTTCAAGTCGTTGAATTTTCAGTTAATGTACTGCAGCTCTCTGAAGCGTGGTGAGTTTCTTTAACCATTAAAGCAGCTGTAAGCTGTACATATAAAATAATAATCAAATGATGATGTGTAAAGGCAAAACACTGCCTTTCATCGGAATAACTACTGGATGGGGGGTTATTTACATTTCTGTGTAGTGACAGCTTGACTCGAAGGAGTATGATGATGATGACTGATAAACGGTTTGAACCTAACGCTGATAACACGTTGTGCAGGTTACTCCAGAAGAGCCCTATAGAGACCTGCGAGCAGAGGCATTTCAGGGGTAGGGAATTTGGGTTGGGGAGAGATTCAGGGGCCATCCGACCCTGAAGACGAGAGAAGAAATAACGCGTTATCTAAGCTCTGGTGCCGTCGGGACGTGACCGTCCGTCCCCATGGCCAGGGCAGAGGCTGCGAGCGAGGAACCTCCGATCTCCTCCGCCACCGCGGTGCTTTCCCTGCGGTGTTCGGTAGGGGAGTAGTCGGCGGTGTGCGTTTGGCTACGTTCCCGCGTACATGTCCTGAGAGAAGCAGAAGGAGGGAGCACCCGAGGAGGACGCAAAGAGGAATATAGAAGGGGAAAAAAAAAAAAAAAATCCCAAACCGCGCGTTTTGCATGCCCTGGCGCATCTCACAGCTCAGCACCGCGCATCGCACACCCCACTCCTCGTTCCCTCCGGGTTCTCTGCGGCCGCGCAGAGCCGCCTGCAGCAGCCGAGCCTGCTCCCGTCGCGCCTTGGGAGCGTAATTCCCGCAGCTGCTCTTGCCCATCACGCCGCCTGCCTTCAGCATGGCTTTAGGCACCGCGGCTGGAGGGGTGTGCCCCGTCTCCTGGGGACGAACGAGAGGCTGGCGGATGTTCCCTTCCCCGCGGCTGGGACCTCCCCAAAACCGAGGTGGTGCCGGACGCGGGGCCGTGCGGTCCCTGCGGGTGTCCGCGCACATGCCCCGGCGCATTTGCTCCCCACTGCGGGTCTCCGGTCGGCAGGGCCGAGGGGCTGACTGTCGGATTGCGAGGCACCCTCCGAGTAGCTTTAAAATAGAGCGATTTAAATATATAGCTTTAAACATATATTTAACGTTCTATATGTTCTGCATATTTATATATGCATATATACATATATATATATACACATACATGGTGTATTTCATTTCCCTCTTCGGGAAATCAATGCCACCCTTTCTCCCAAGCATGTTTGCCTTCTAGTAAAGGAGGCTCCACCTCTGCTAGGGATTGATTCGCCCAGCAGTTTTTAGGATAATTTATGGAGCAACCTGATGAGCCTATTGGGCGAGTTGCTCGGTCCTTGCAGAGTGGGTTTCTACCTGTTTGGGTGTTTCACCCTTCCCGTCCCCTCCCTCCGCCTGCCGTGTGCCGGGGGGTGGTGGGATTAGCAGGGTCGCCGTTCCTCAGCCTCTCCGGAGAAAACCCGGGGAAAAGAGAGCTCCTTCACGCTCATGGATGCATGGGGGGGCCCCACGCCCCGCTGGAGCCATCGCCGCGGGGCCCGGTTGCTGCTGCTGCTGCTGACCGTGCGGCTGGGGAGCGGGTGAGTACGGCGGGCCCCCCGCACCTGCCCCGACCGGGCTCGGCTCCCTGCCCTTCGCGCCCCGGGCTGAGCTCGGGGGACGCCGGGCAGGCTGGCGGCGGGAGCAGAGGCAGGGAGGCGGCATGTGCTGCGCCGCCAAACTTCAGTGGGAAAAGGTGCCAGTGCTGCCGCTGTGGCTCCCACGGGCGGCTGCGGGGGGGAGCCGGCACCGGCAAAGTAAAAGTTCAGCTGCATCCCACTTGTTCGCTGGGCTAAATGATGAGTCCAGGTTCGGCTCGGTGCGGGGAAAAGCGTGTCCCCGGCACGCCGGGGAGGGCGGCGGGGCCATGCAGTGCCGGGTGCGGCCCGGGGCAGCGGGCGGGGGGAGCCCGGCGCCTGGAGCGCAGGGAGCTCGGGCAGCAGTGCCGCCCGTGCCCGCCGGGGATGCGGGGACACGGGGAGCGGGCTCGGCGGGTAAGCGGGTGGTGCGGAGGGCACCGCTCCCGGCGCCGGCACCTCCCGCACGGCACCCGCGCCTACCTCCGCACCTCTCGGGGGGGCGATCGGGCTCACGCGTGGGATGGGGCAAGGGCAGCTGCTCCCGTCCCAGAAGTTGAAAACGTACATTTTAAGGGAGAACTAGAATATCGAGCTGAAGGGCTCTGAAGAAACCACAGTTTGGTACGGCTGTGTACGTGTCTTATTAGTAACCATAACAAGTTAACAAAAAGAAATCTGATCATTCAACTCCATTAATAATACAGAACTAATGTGAACCATTCCACAGGTTACACTCTCAAAAAAAATCACAAAGCAGCACTGAAAGGGTATTTGACTGTTGGCCAGTGTTTTTTTCTTTTTAACAGTAGAACAAATTATCATTCTAAGAGGATATACAAATGTGTAATGTAAAGGCTGTGAAAAAAAAAAAAAAGAAAGAAAAGAAAAAAGGGGAAAAATCTATTAAACATTTTTTAAAGTCTGTCAGACTCCAGACCCCTTCCCCGTGCTGAATGATGATTTATCAGTTAATGTGTTGATCTCATGACATCTCTCATCTTCAGAAGGCTGTTGTGTTATCCTAGTCAAAATCACCACTTATTATGCTTTTTTTTATCTGTGTCTTTTAAAATCTTGGTATATTAAGGAAATATTTTTCAAAGGCACTGATGAAAATTATACCAGTGCAGCTGTGCATCTTCAAGATGTTTCTTAATGATCATAGTGTACCTCAGGTATGAAAGAAATTATCAAGTGGTTTTAGAGAAAAGAATATGCATGCTAATTTATCAGTTCAAAGACCTAGTTACAAAGGAGTAGGGCTAGCTAAAAAAAAAAAAAAAATTATTTGTTTGTCAAAGTACGGTTTGAATTATAGGACTAGGTGCAGATTATTATGTATGCATCTCATTAACATTAGTATTTATATATAACTTGATAAGAAGTCTTCAGTGAGAAAAAGAGGTAACATTAGTATTTATAAATAAGTTGATAAGAAGTCTTCAGTGAGGAAGAGAGGTAACTTACATGTGTTATTTTATTCTTTATTACAGGACATCTCAGATAAAATGGAACCTTTGGTATAAATATCCATGTATCTGAATGAACTATTTTCAGCTTTGCCATTCATTCAGAGAATGCATGGAAAAATGGTGGTTGAAAGATTTATTTTCCCCCCCATCTTTTTTTAAGTGGCAACAAATGGATATGTTTTGCAGATCATTATTCTCTGGTGTGTAATGCGTTGCAACCCAAGGTGTTTGCAGAGACCTCTGGCGCCCTTTAACAGTCTGCCACAAAAAAGTCTGCTTTTTTGGAGGCCTTTCTGTAGTTTCAGCCCAAGATTTTCCTTGAAGTTCAGCCTAAAACTATTGCAGTAGTAATGATTTTCTCAAGAATGGACCAGGTTGCACCAGTTCTGTCTTTTTTTCTAAAAACATCTTGCAGGAGCCAGCCCACCTTCTCAACACATACTTTTTGAAAGATTGCATATTGCAGTGCTTTTAGTATGCATTTTTACGCAAAGTACTTTGCGCTGAGTGTGAGTAAAGTTGTTTCAGCTGTTACAAATGGAGCTAAAGCCTAAGCAAGGACACGGGAACTTGAACCTATCAAAGAGTTTATTGCTTTTAGGTACTGCCCCAAGAGTGGTAGTGTGACATTACACCAAACTTCCCTCACCAAAGTGAACTCTGTAAAACAGTTGTTTATGCCCAGTTCTTCACCTGCAGCACAAACAGACCTGAATGGCCAATGCACTTGATGTAACTTCATGAGTTATTGTTTTGAAGGACTACTTTTGTCAATAGCAGACATCTGTAGCAGAAACTGGGCTGTGAGCCTTTCTATAAGATACGTGCAGGGAAAGAGTAGTTACCCAGCAGTCACTGCAGTTCTAAATGTTCAGCAAACCCATTATTCTTGTTGAACTCAAATAAACAGATAATTCATAGGCAGAGCATAAGAGCTGACAACATAATTATGTCCTTAATTCCAACCATACAGGTGCAGCTTAACAGTAACATTTCTTCTAATTCATGCTGTTTTAAATAGTATGTGCTGGTCAACATGCCTAATAGTATATTGTAAGCTTAACTTAATTTTGGCCATATCTTCCCTTTAGTTTTGTGATCTGATGTTCTAAAAGCAATTAAAAATGCTCTGTTTAAATGCAACTGGGCGCACTGTCAGCAGGTACAAATGTCAACTAATATTTTCTTTTCTATTTCAAAGTATCTGTTAGGAAAATATATAATACATCGTACGTTTTCTTCTCATATAAATTCCTGGATCAGAGTTAAACTGGCCATAACAACGTTGGTTTCTTAGTGCTTGGTGATAGTGATTTACTATTTCATTTGAGTGTCTGTGATGTTTATTCATCATTATCTGCACTTTTATGTGCTTTGCTCATAATGTGACAGTGAAGAACTTGTTATTAAGCAGTCCCAGTGGCTTAGAATATAGTTTATTTTATGAAAAGTTTGTTAATAATTTCTTTTGTTAGTATAAAGTTTAAAGAGACAGAAATATTGAGAAATATTGAGAAGTTCTTTGCATGTAATCTTCTTACAAGGTTTCAAGGAAACCTTCCAACTATGTTATTCTGAAAAAAAAAAAAAAAAAAAAAAAAAAAAAAAAAAAAAAAAAAAAGAAAAAGCTGTTAACAAATTGAGCCACATTTTCAATTACTTTTAACTTTCTTTTTGTTAAATATGCCTAATGCTACAAAGAACACCATGGGTACCTATTCAAGCCTTTCTGAGCTGGACAGAAAAGGTTACAGATGAGCACTTGTTGACCTTATTCAACTTTTTTTCTGAATACGTAAATCTGTCCACAGAGTTGATTACAAGGGGATTGGGTAATATATGCTTTTTCCTTGAAGCTGTAGAGGAATGGCAGTAACCTTGGTCAATTCTATGGCCAGTAAGTAAGACCACTTATACAGACTAGGCATATTCATTGTTTGAAAGTGAGTTGCTTTGTTTTAGGGTATCATACATATCAACTAAAAAAGTCATGGATGTTGTACTCACAGAAAACCAAAGGTAAGCATCTCAAGGCCCATTGTTGTTGAACCTTTTGTGAGAGAAGAGTACTAGCACATTTTTAATTACCTGCATAACCCTTTCTTTCATGGCATACTAAATTGATCATGTACTTGAGCAAAATAATGTTATTACTTATTTGATAAAGAGGATCAGAGACAATTGTTAATTGTAAATTACTGTAATAAACTGTCAGAAACCTTTAAAAGGGTTGTGGATGACAATAACACTAACTTTTATTTCTTAACAATTTCTCTGAATGGTAATCATTTGTACAGAGTAATTTAGATGTGACCGAATTAATCTAGAGATGACACATGAGCACCGATTTTGCGTTTTCACACCTGCAAATATTTTTATTAACACTGAAAATAGTGTGGTAAGTTCAGTGGATTACATGCCTATGTAAAAAACTTGATTCTGTAGATCTAAACTTACAATGGTAAATCATTCACCAAAACTGAACTAATAGAGGTGACTAGAGAGACTAGAAAGATCAACATTAATTCATCAGTACAGAACTTATTTCAAAGAAGAGGGAAATCTCAATGATATGGCAAAGATGGAAATAGTTTATAAAATATGCTTTACTTGGTAGAAGTTCCATTCAATAGGATCTGTTGAGACAATCTAGTCTTGTATGAGAATAAACAAAACTGGAGAATTTACCCTGGCTTCTGTATCAGGTTTCCTCCTTCAGTATAACTGTTCTAAGTCCCTGCATAAAGACATCATGAGGAGGAATCCAGTGAAGTATTGTACAGTATTTCTAGAGTGAGGTTTTCTCTGGCTTCCAGCCAGTGCATCTCTTGCTTTCTTCTGCTAGTAAAATAAAACCTTTTTTTTTTTTTTTTTTTTTTTTTTCCCAGTGCCACCTGCTACAGCTGGCTCAGTCACTGGACCCCTTGTCCATCTTTTTGTGGGGAAATCCAGGTCTTGGTTGACACTTCTGGTTCTGCAGGGTAGCCTCAGGGTGCAGCCAATGGCTGCAACTGCTCTTCAGGAACAGAGCATGGTCTGCATCCATCTGCTCTTCAAGAGGGAAACCAGTCATGAAAGCTCATCCTGTGTGCCTCTGCTTAGTTTTGCCTTTACAAGAACTCAGAGCATTACAAGTGAATCCTGAAAATTCTTAAAGGAATCAGCATTTTGGTCAGAAAATACCCTGGTGCCTTTCTCTTTCCAGTCAAATCTTTCATAATGCATTGTAGAAACCTCCTCACCTCTTGGAAATGGGAAGCTGCAGTGCAGTTAAATGCCTAGCAGTTGTTGCAGGAGTGACCTAATCCAAAATGAAAGTGCTATACAAATATGTCACAATTGGAGACACTCAATGCAGAACGGAAATTTCTGCTGAATTAGGTTTACCCACGCCACAGTCAAATTAACTACAGTTCTTCGAACTACTGTTTGACGTATATACCTGCTATACGCAGTTCAAGAGGCAACTTGATAGCTGCTTACATTTTC